AAATACGGAATATTAATCGCTGTCTGAACTTGATTATCCGTACAATCTTTCATTATGTCCTATTTCAACAAAAATAGTTCAGTAAGGCGAAAATATTATCAGGGCTTTGCTCGCAATCAAAACAACGAAATTTCCCACTGACAACTTGAGCATTCTAAATAAATTCTGACATTTCGCTATCAACGAAATATCTGATTTATTTTTTTATCGCAAAGTTTTATTGTCCATCTTCAAGGTTACAATTCCTTTACCTGATAAATAAATTCTTCCGATATAGGAAACAGTTTCACAAACTTACTTTGTAATCAATCACAACGTGCTCTAAAATGGCTCGATCTAGCATCTTCTTGTACCATTCTTGTAATCGTTTTGGTTTCGGTACTCTTTGTTCGGGTGGATGACAATGAAATATGTAGTCGTCTCCTTCACTTGGCGGACATGCCCAAATATGCGCATACACATAACCCAATTGTTTAGCATAGTCCAAATAACCGATCAAAATTTCATGGTAAACCTCAGTACGATATTGCTTTGGACGAAAAAAATGAACGGAGTCCAAATAGGAAACGTACACACGTCTAAATATCACAAAAATACGTCAAATCTCCTCTACTCTCATCTTCATTTTTGACACTTTGAAAAACTCCGACCACTATTGACACCTTTACTACAGTCTCATAATCTCGATGTCACTTACCGTGCATTTGGTGCTTGACATCTTCCATCGTACTCTTGCACATGCATGCCGAATAGAACAACATCAACACCTTCAATCTCTTGAAATGCAAATATTGCCTTTGTCCGGTAAGGATAACCATCTGGCACTTGATTCTGATAGTATTTCTTCAACCGTGGCTTCACTTCACAAACCTTGTCTGAGGCAGCCAGAATTCGAACTGTCACTCGACCAGCAGTAGGACATTCTGCTCGTAAGAATGTATTCACCCGCTGCTCTAACCGATGAGCTAAATCAGTCATCGTCAATTTATGAGCGACGTAACGGTTATCTTTTCGTTTGATGTTATAATCTTTGATGCATCGCTCGCACACAAAACCTTCTGGCCACACTTGATCGAGATGCAACGCACAAATCTGATGCCATTTTCGTGAACAAACAATACAATCGACCATAATCTCGGGCTCTTGGGCATCATTTTTAGCTGGTGTAAAATCACATTTTCGCAATTCAATCAACGGTTGAGCCGGATCATCCCCAACACAAATCATTTCACCTTTGACAGAGTCGAAGCATTTGTTACAAAATGTGTACTTATCACCAGACAAATTTGCTCGCGATGGTTCAGGATTGTTGTAATAGTAATAGGCCCCATCGCGTGGGATTTGACAACACAACTGATTTCCATAACAAAACATGACTTGTGGCAAGAAGACAAATTGTCGACCACAACAATAGCCCATTGATTGCATAACAGGATCAACAGCTTCCGTAAACAGATCAGAAAGCTGAAAAAAGGACATTCATTGATTGCTGTTGGAAAGCAATAAGACAATCTCGATTATGCACAAGATTTATTGCATCTCACATGCAACCAAGTTATGAAAGCAGGTTACTTACTTTTGATCCCATTTTATAAACCTTTGTCGTCTTTTTATTATACAACCATGCATTATTAAACATGAGCCACATGTCGTCAACAAACTGAAGCGGGTTCTCATATTCACCATTTATTAATTTGTTACTGATTGTGGAGATATCCATTGGATGTTTGATAATCGAAGGGTAATCCTGAAATGAAGACACAAGTTAAAGAAGAACTTTCTAGTTTAATGGCTGTTACCAGAATATTTAGTGCTACAGGATCAACCGGTTGTCTGAATGGATGTGAATCCTCATATGTTAACAATTTTTGAATGACAGGTTCAAGTCGTAAGCGTAGCTCTTCTGGCGTGAATGTCACTGGATACTTCGGCAGTTGTTTACTTGTTGACTCAATTTGAGGGAGTTTGGGTTTTGAATATTCTGATAATTCCGATTTTACTCCTGTTGGTGGTGTTGAAGATCTTTTGGGTATAGGAAAATCATCGTGTTCTTCTTTTTTAACCGGCATCAATTCTCTGCCGTTATTTGCTGTTAATAATTGCTGTTGTTTTGGGGATATTGGTTCGGCTTTAAAACGTGTAGATCCTAATGGATCGGACGAAAACATATGGTTATTATTTGTGTCCGAACGATTATTGGGATTATCTATCATATCGTGACCGGTATTATTTAATAATGAACCCAAACTATCTTGTGAAAAATTATTAGGACGTGTAGTCGACGTATTACTGAGCGTCATTAGTGGTTCATTTTTTATCTGCTGTACAAGATGCTCGTGATTCAATATGTTAGAGGACGAAAATGATGGAATTTCTGATTGTGGTGCTATTCGATTTGGCGGTCCATGTTCACCCGCTGATTTATCGATTGAACCGAGAGATGATGAAGTCATGTCAACATGTGTACCTTGCATCATGCTGTTCGCGTTCTGTAATGTTTGTAAATCTTGTAACCGTTTTTTTTCTCGACGATCTTCAAGTTCTTTTTGAATTTTATAAATTTTTTCGGCTAGTTTATGAAAATATTCTTCTTGATTATTGGCAATTTCAAATGTTTCACTTTCTACACGTCGAGCATAGTTTGCTAAGTTAATCATACGTTTATCTCTTAATGCATTCGAGTCTGTTGTTGGTATCAAAGCTGAAATGATTTTTTGAACAAGATGATTTCTCATTTCCTGAGTAACACGTTTTTGCCATTCTTTAGCTGATATAAAAGAAAAATGCAATAAGATATATTGATTAGATATACAAACGTGCAAACTAACTTGAACTTCTCTCGACAGGCGGTTGATTGATTTTTCCTAGAGTGGTCGGTGTTTTTAGTGGTTGGCAAATTGGACATTGTTGATTGTTACATTGTTTCCAGTGTAAAATTATTTGACGAGATGTTACACAGTGCGGAACTAAAAATGGGCATGGAAGTAAAGGATCATATCAAAATAACTTTGAGAACACCTTCAAGTATGAGAAATTTTTATTATGAGAAATCTTTTTTAAACTTACTCGGACACGTTTTATGATCGTTACATTTTGTCATGTGCTGTAAAACATTCTTCATGGTACTACAATGTGGCAATGTACAACCATTTGATCGTTGTTCACCATTCAAACTTTGTTTTTCACGTTGTTGACACTTGTGTGCATGTAACAGTAAAACAAGTTGTTTCTGAATAAACTGTTTTCGCTGCACTTCGGTATGTTGTTGCGGTGGTGGTGTCAGCAATGAATTCTGATTTTTTATTTGATTTGTACCACTTATTAAATTATTATTCGTATTGCCGTTAGCGGATAACATCGAAGTTTGAATTCCGTTGTTAGAGTTTGCAATAGTTGCAATTCCAGACCCTGAAGAATTTGTGTTAAGTGTAGCATTTGAATTTGCTAAAATTGTGTGCGGATTCGTTACGTATAAAGTTGCAGAAGCATTTGATTGTGCAACAGATGATACATTTTGATTGGATGAATCAATCATTTGCGCCTTGAACAAAAAATGCAATTCAAATACGTAATTTAAAAGTTGACGAATGAACAAACTCGTCCAATGTAGCTGGCAATATAGCGTAAGAAGGTCAGAGCAATTTTTTATACAACGGAAACGATCGAAATACTAATTAAGGAGTTGTACACATACCCGAGTTGGATTCATATTTCCTGTGTTAACTGTCAGTTGATTTGGTTGTTGTGTCGGTTGAACTTGAATTTGTCCTTGTTGTTGATGAATCTGAAAATTGTTCACTTGTTGTTGATTTATAGACGGTAAAACTTTTGTAACAGCCACTGATGTGTTATTATTCACTGTTTTCGGCATGCCAAGACCAACAGATTGTTGATTTGACATAAATACATCATTGGACTGCAAAGAAGGAAAGAGCATAATTTATGAGAACGTCTGTGCTCGCACAAATGAAAAAATCGGCGATATAACGACTAGTTTAACACGTTTGTGATTATTTTAGTTTCGCTCTTATAAATGCTTTGCAGTACAAATTAAATAAGCTTAAACTGTTTCTCTTATTGTACTTCTCTGGTAAGAAAAAATCTGATACATCTGGGAGGAACGCGATTGTTCTCAAATTCAGTTTCGTCAAAAATGAGACCGATTGGTTTTGGCTTTTGATTATTCATTATCCGGTGTAGTGAAAATAAGAAAAGATGATATACCTTTACAATATTCATTTGTGTAACATTTTGGTTCATATTAACCATATTTGCTTGTTGTTGTTGTTGTTGTATGGCTACTGCTCCTGGTGTTGCTTGTCTCGAAATTGTATATTGCATATTTTGTTGACCGGGTGCACATCCCATTCGGTGAAGTGCTTGATTTCTATTAATAGCCATGTGTTGATGTTGTTGTTGCTGTTGTATACTGGCTTGTATTGTCTGATAATTGGCCGGCACTCCATTTGAAATAACATTTGTTGTTCTTACAATCGTTTGTCCTGTACCTGGAATTGTATGAATTCGTTGTAAATTTGGTGTTTGAAATGAATTCATATTCAGATTAGTATTCGCCGATGTATTCTGATTTTGCATTGTTTGTGGTTGTTGTCTATTAATATACGCTAAATGTTGATTAGATCCAATTGTAATTGAACGTGCAGTTTGTGCATTTGTCAAATACATTTGTTGTTGGTTAGTATTACTACCTCCAGTATTTGTATTTGTTATCATTGTGACGGTCGGAGAAGAAGAATTTCCATTAATTGTTGATGGAAATAAGTTTTGCTGATTGACCGACGATTGATTTGAATTTAATTGTTGAGGTGGTGTTTGACCATTATTATTGCTGAATGGTTGAGATTGATTTTCAATTGTATTTGTAGAATCATTAAAATCTCTTGAAATATCAAATATTTCTTCTGTGTCATCATTGTTGTTTCCATCGAACTGTGTTAACATTTTATTAAAATCAAAGTCTTAAAGACACAAAAAACATGAAATTGTAAAATTATTCGATACTTTAGATAAATATAAAGAGAAGATTACTAACCGGCCTCACTTCCAGGTCCGCTTCCTAATGGACCTGACCGAAATTTCTTCGCTGGAGGTTGGAGACCGTCTATAAAATCAGCCATAATTCATTAAAACACATCACTGTTATTTTGATTCATTAACTTCACTGAACCTAAATATTGAAACAAAAACCATCAAAAAAATAAAGCATACTGTCACACGACATGTTTCAATTTCAAGACTGTATGAATAGAGTAATTGCAAAATTTTGACTTTTTCACGTGTTATACTTATTTTTAACAGAATACCTAGCCGTTCTACGTTATGACAAGTAAAATATCAGTTCATTAATTGTGAATAACTAAGCTTCTAACTAGAGAGAAGAAAAGAAAGTAACTTGCCTAAGCAAAAGAATACACCCAGTCAGGTATTGACATTGTTTAGCAAAACATAACCGATTGCTTATGATATTATTTCCAAGGGTAAAATGAATGTAGATATAAAACGAAAGACTTTTTCTTATACTCGACTATTTATAGAATTACAACGATTCTATTTCTAGATTTCCCAAATATTTATTTTATACAATTTTTATTATGAAAACTTAATAATAATCAAGGCTATAAATGAATCCCAGTTTTCTCGTTCATATTTATAAATATCGGAACATGTCCTGCCATCTATCCGATAGGACTTTGTAAAACTATTTAATTGGTTACGCATTTTGGAAAGTGCATAAATACGCTATTATGTTATCCAATCAAAATGTTCCACAGTTTATTACAGAGGAAGAAAAAGTGGTATGGATCATTAAATCTTACGATACTTTGGACGTGAATCTCGGTCAAAGAAAATTAAGCGTAAGTCGCTAGAATCAACGTGCATTTACGTCGATTGTATCGCGTTATGTATAGCTTTAATTTCTGGCGCACTCTGACAATTAATCTCTCATACAAATGTCTATATTGGTTTTGTATTGTCTTTTCATCATTTGCCAAAGTTCTCTGGTAATGTGAAGCGACTGGAGAAATATGTATTGATCTTTATTCTTAATTTGGGTTGTCTTTTGATCAAAATCACAAGTGTAGCGCACAGCGGCGTAACCAATGAGGGGGGGAGCAAATGGGTAATTGCCCATTTCATTTGGACATTTGCCCATTGAAATTTTACTTTTTCAGAATTGTTTGTTTATTTCTTTGAATTAGATAGTAAATGTAATTTTTTTCTTCCGTCTGAACCTCACATGCACTCTTTGCTTGTTAGAAACTAAAACACCTGACTTAGACTTAAGATTTGAGTTTGATGCATATTTGATTAAAAGAACCTCATTTCACTTCATTCAAATTTCTCCAAGACGCGGGACCCTAGCTGTACACAAAAAACAAGTCGGTCCCGATCTGCCCATGCTCTGTTGAGCTAAAAATTTTTTGGCCCATCAATAAAAACCTTGCCAATTTTGTCCATCGTTTTTTTCGACACAATAGAAGTTTGCCCATTGGTCTAAGAATCCTGATTACACAGCTGGTAGCGCATTACTTTAGAACTACTAACTACTCCCATAATCCGTTTGTATGTGTTTTAGGAAATTCATTGGAAAAGAATGTAATCAGTCTCCAAACAAGATGTCTGTTTTCTGAACATAACATTTGCACTAATCAAAAAGGTTTTATCTGCATTTCTGCTCCTTGAAGTTCCTCGACGATTAGACACTATCATTTTGTCAACAGTAAAATGTTTCAATTTAACTTTAACTGGAATAGTAAGTATTCTCTGTTATTCAGAAAACATCCTAGTAACACTAGAAAAATCACATTGCAAAGCTAATACATGGATGTGAGAAACATGAATAAAACATATCAACATTGGGAATGACATTTAGTTACTATTTAAGTTCTGATTTTAGTACTAATAGAATTATTACTTGATCGTAACGACGATCAAAGAAAAGATAACTGTTTTTTGAACGCCGCTAATTTATCTGAAGAAATGACAAGTGATCGTAATAAAAGGAATATATATGTCGTGTCCGTTATATTAATCATTTTCATTTTTTATAATATTTTCGTCTTCTTTTTTTATTAAATAAAATATATTATGTTAGAATTTCCTGCACAATAAAATGCTCGATATCGTTCGGAAATTCTTTAACAAAAATAATATTTAAAATAAATAGTTCTTTGACTTCTCATATTCTACCTCTATCTATTTAAGAGCACTCCTCATTTCCGAAAATGTTTTTATTTTTGATCCAAATACGATGTATGATAGAGTATACTCTACAACTATAATATCACTCTCAGCTCACTACGCCTATATTTAAAAGAGATACAAATTTTTTAAAAGTTTGTCATTTAACGCTGAAAACTTTGTTGTTTAACTTTCAAAAATTCGCGGTCTTCGTTCACAAATTTTCCACGTAGTTCATTAAATTTAGTATTAAGATATTCTCAGCAGAATCATCCATTTGAAAATGAAATTTGTGCTTTTGCTATAGACGTCGACTAACTGCTTTATAGTTCAAATTGATTTATGCGTAACTTGAATCAATTGCCACACTTATCGGATCTATGGTAGTTATGGCTGCCTGCAGGTCTGTTCCGTTGCCGAGAGATATATCAACAAAACCTTTGAAAGAGGAAGAGAAAGAGATAGTTCAATTACTAAGACTTTAACGTAAAATCCATTTTACAGAAAAAGTGAACAGTAGTTTTTTTGAATAATTATCTGAATGGTAAACGCGAAACCCGAACATTGCATGCATTATAGGTATTTAATCACATTGACTGTTAGAACATAGTCTGCTTTTAGAAAAAAATTCAGGCGTCTACTGCAAATCAGAAAAAAGTGAAAAATCCCAGTTTTATCTTTATGTACATAAACTTGAAAAATTCTTGACTCACTCAAAAAGGATTCAAGATCTTTCTACTCATTTTGACTCTTTATCTATATCAGATAGATAAAATAATGTATCATGGAAATTTTCTCATATGGAGTGACATATAAATGTTTTAAATTCAGTTTTTAGCAGATATTTGAATTTTCTAAAAACAAACTATGTCATGAGAGTCAGTATGGTATACCTATGATATCTATGATTTATGTAATCTGTGAGCTTCGTATGTGAGATTCAGACCACCCATAGGGCTTCGACAGAGTGTTAAGTTCTATGCCCGAAAGACTCAAATGTTCAAAAACTCAAATGAAAAACTCAAATGTTCCGCTTAACTTTCAAAATGAAGATGACACTTGTGACTTAAAGCAATGAAAAAAATTAAACAGTATTTAATATTGATGACATGCTCATGACTTTGTTTTCTAGAGATTTTCGGGATAATCTACTATGACAATGTTATCGTGCCAACTCTTTTTTTTTGCCGATGAAAATATAGCTGCAAGTCTCTCTCTATCTCTTTTGATCTTATGAATATATGTACATCAAGGCAACCAATGATGTTGATCATCCAAAAGCGACTATTCTCTTTCTTCATGGTTTTCCTTCATCGCTTCATTCTTGGCGACATTAATTGAAACATTTCTCACGACAAGGATATGGATGTCTAGCACCAAATATGATGGGCTATCGTAAAACTTATTCACCATTGAAGAAAGATGAATACAAAGCCAAATCTATGGTCAATCATCTCATTTCTCTTCTTGACTACTCGTCTCTCGACAAAGTATTTGTCGTTTCACATGATTGGGGTACTCTACCAGCCAGTCGATTTGTTTTGTATTATCCTGAACGAACATTGGGTCTTGTTTTACTCAGTATTGGATATCAAGTACCGGGAATGTTGGATTTTGATCAAGCACTTAAAAATTCAAAAGAATTCTGCGAATTTGAAACTTTGGGCTATCGGCAATTTTTTGATTCTGATGAAGCGGCCAAGTTTATTGAAAGCAATTTGGAAAGTTTCATTGACTTACTGTTTGCAAGTAATGCAACGCTTATCACAACGGCTCTGGTTCCACTTGGTAAACTGCGACAATGGCTGAGAAGCGGACGAAGAACAAATCGTGTTTCATTTATGACAGAAGACGACTTCGATGTAATTCATCAATTTCTTGTCAATGCCGTACGGTCTAAACTTAACTGGTATAAGGCAGCGGTTGGTAATATTAATTGGAATGACGAAATGAATCTCGATCCAAATATTAAGCGACCAGTTCTTTTTATTAGAGATGCACTTAGATATCCATGTCTAACTCCGTTTTGGGCACGACAAAGTCAATACATAAGCGATGAGGAAGTGATTGATTTCGAAACAGGTCACTGGATTATGAAAGAAGAGCCAGAAGCAGTTAATCAAGCAATCGGAAAATGGATTGAGAAAATTCTATAAACCCAAAACGCAACTGTTGTATTTCATGCATCTTTTTTAGATTAACTAATTACCTCTATATTCTGTCAGCAATCAGAGATGGGATGGGTTCAGTTTCAGATCGGACCGAACCGAACTGAAATATGAGTTTTTCGTAAACTGGATCAGTTCGGTTCGGTTTATAGAAATTTTTGAATGTTTCTAGTAGATAAATGTTTTGAAACTTGTGATCAATAATATATATCATAAGGTCTGACCAGCGTACAGAACATGTATCCAAGTCCTTATGGGCTCGTTTACTTTTCGAAAAACTCATACAAGCCTATCTAAGAGTACTGGCCTAGATTCCTAGGCTCTATCTAGTGATCTGTAACCCAGTCGTGGAATGTGTAGCAACTGAGTAAAAGATCCCTAGGTGTCGCAAATCATATCCATCATTCATCACACGGGGCATCAAAAACCAGTAGAAGTGTAAAAGTTTTTTAAAAATCTGAAAATTCTCTTGTGAAAACAATATGAAAACACTTCGGAAGAGAAAAAATACTGATGGAAACAAAGAACTAAAGTGAAGAGTGTTTGAATGATGAAGACAGTTTTCCGTTGTATTAACTTTAGTTAGATTTAAAGAAAATTTCTCGAATCGGTTCGATTCGGTTCCGTTTCAGAAAGTTTCGGTTCGGTTTGAGCTTTCCAAAACAAACGAAGGGTTCGGTTCGGTTGAAGAAAAACACGAACCGATCCCATCTCTGTTAGCAATTATATATATGTATATGGGCAAAACCAGTGTTGCGGGACGTGACGTTCGTAAACTTTGAGTCACTGTATATCTGAAGTGTTAAACTTTCTAGTAATGCTATTTATATCAGAAACGTGTATCAAGTTGCTAACGATGCCACGAAAAAATGAGTTCTGACGATACTTATTAAGATTACCTTTTTCACGAAAAACTACGTCGTTGCGGACGTAATTAAAAAAGACAAACATTTTCAGTGCATGTAGGGCTCTCTTGAATTTCTGCGAATTGGTGAAACAAGTTTCGAATTTTCAAACTGCATTTTGTAGATGACACTTCCGGCTACAAAATCGGTAGCAAAAGTTTGTCTGAAGGGTTTTGGTGTTCTGCACTACAATCCATTTAAATCTTCGTTGCGGACGAGGCAGAGTGCGAATATAAAAACAAAAAATGCTCTTCCCTAGTGAATGTACTCAAGTGTGAGTACTCAAAAAGTACTCTGATAGAAAAACCGGACGAGTACTCATACGTACTCATACATTTTTTTACTCACTGAGTACTCACCTGAGTACTCATGAGTGAGTA